CAGCAGGTCTCAAACTATAAAGAAGTACTTTTTATTTTTCAGTCCAGCTCTAAAATTTACTGAAGTACAAAGTATAGCTACATATTCTCAAATGTCGTGAAGTAAAAGTAAAAAGTACCCACTGTAAAATGTATTTAAGCAAAGTACAGTTACCTACAAAATTATACTAGATACTTCTCTAAAATGATTCCAGCACAAGGCTTTTTTATATGGAGTTTGCATGTTCTCCCTGTGTCTGTGAAGCCCTACACAGTTTTCCCTACAAAACATGGTCAAGTCGGGCTATAGTGTACACAGAATTCGCAGTAGCTCTGGGAAAACCCTCCATCTGATCTACGCAATTTTGGTTCAATTTTTACTTTGACCTTAACCTAAAATAAATCTTTTGTGTGAGTCATTTGTTGTGAACCAGCAGCTAGTTCTCAATCCAGCAAATTGTGAAATCATTTTTGAAGCCTTGTGCTATCCTGCTCTGTCAGACCACATCTCCTCTTCACTATTGTAAACCGGGCCACATTATCCAGCAGCATGTAAATTCTATATCAAAAGTGAGGCCCAGCGTTAGTGCACCAGTGCGATAATAGAAAGCATTATGTCCTCACGGCTTTGTGAGATAGAGAAGCTTCAAGCCTGTTATTACTATATCCTTTTTCTTTTGTCAAGTTAAACATGAAGATTTTACGAAAGGAGAGTTGCTCTTTACTGCAATTTTGAAGTCGAATTTAAATGTGTAAACCTTTGAGAGCAGAAATTACCAAGAAATACATGAGTACAAAACATTACACCAAGCTATTGATTTGGAGCAGCTTTGTGGTAAGTCTTGGAGATTTACAGAGCCCACCTTTATATATTCTCATCCAATAAGGTATAACCTCTATTGTGAGATATAAAAAGATACAGTCAGAGAAATAAACTTGGGTTGACTGTTGTTAAAACTGCAGATTAAACAAGCCCTTCTTCATAAAGACAACAATATCGACCTTTACAAAACCAGGGTCTGGAAAGTAGCTCACAATGTGGCCATGAAAAACAAATGGGCCCAGCAGTCCTTGTGTATTATATTGATGAGCAATGATTGGCTGCACAGCCCAAGGTTCCAGCCAATTACAGACAAGAAGTAAACAACAGCAGGGGCTCGACGCACAGGGAGGGAAGGGGGAGGCTGGAGGTAAAGGCACACAAATGAGCAGAACATCCGGGGGTGGACTATATACACAATGTGCTGTATTTGGAGCCTGGAATCAATAAAGGATATGTATTATGCATATACTGTTTGCTGCTTTTATGATAGATGTAGCAATTATTTTCCAGTTTGGTTGAAATGAACGAAGCAACAACAGGAAGTCAAAATAATACAGTGATTAAAGGTGGACTTTTCTGGAGGAAGGTAGCCCACATGTTTGTCTTTAAAGAGATAGTATTGCTTTGCCTTGAATGTTCCACACACAACAAACCTACCTATTTATGTTTACTCATTTACAGATTTTTTTGGCTTGTTTTTTTTGTTTTCCCCAAAATAATAATAAAACCTGTTCCTGAGTCATATGTAGGCGTGAGATCACCCATTAGGGGCCTGAACGATTATGCAAAATATGACTCAGGGACAGTTCACGCTTGTAGTTCAATAGCTCTAGCTCACAACAGAAACTCTAAACAAATAGGTGTGCTAGTCTCAGTCTAGAATGGAATTTTCTTTTACTACTGTTTTTTACAGCACACTTACTGAAAATAATTTCTTTGTTGACATTGTTAGATGAGGTCTTTTCATTTTGGGCATCATGGTGGTGCAGTGGTTAGAACTCCTAGTCTTAGCAAGAAAGTCCTGGGTTTTGTTTTGGCATTTTGTCTCCATGCCTGCATAGGTTTCCTCTGGGTGTTCCAGTTTCACCTACCACTAAAAACATGTGCAATAGGGTCTCCTCTAAGGCCAGGACTCTCCCAAAAAAGAAATTCCAAATCTCAGTGTGAGTTTCCTGGTTAAATAAAGATCAATACATAAATACATTCCATGTTTTTCATGTTTGGGATCAGAGGTGGTGCCTTGCACGTCGTAACTTGGACTTGAGTCAGACTTGAGTCACTATTTTTAGGACTTGAGATGTGATTTGATAAAATGGACTAAGACTTGGGTCTTGACTTGGACTTGAAGGTCAGAGACTTGGGTCTTGACTTGGACTAGAGGTCTCTGACTTGAGAAGACTTGAGAAGCACTTTTAAATCTGATTTCTTTCTGTTCTGACAATAATGTTTCAAACTAAGATCTTGTCAAGACATTTAAAAAGGAAAAATGTTCTAAATTAATTTCTACAACTCTTATATATCTTATATACTCAATATATTTATATATGAGTATTTATAATGTTTTTTTTTAAAGTACAATTTATCTTAAAAGTGATATGAATTGCAAAAATCTAAGCTATATTTGGTACTTTGTTTAAAGACTTGAATTGACTTGAACTTGAACGACTTGGACTTGACTTGGACTTATGGGCCAGTGACTCCAGACTTGACTGGGACTTGCCTGTCTTTGACTTGACTTGGACTTAAGGTCTTGGGACTTGAGACTCACTTGAGACCTGCAAAACAACGACTTGGTCCCACCTCTGTTTGGGATCCTCCAGGTTTCCCCCATGCCAGCTTGCCCAGCAGGTCTCCAATCCTCCAGTCTACAGCAGCTCAAGAACAGGAGCTTGAAGAAACAATCAAATAGACAACTCATTTTTCTATATGGGGAAAATAAAGAGCACTTAAATCTTACCAAACCAACAAAAATGGAAAATGACTGAATAATTGTTTTCTATTTGTGTAACTATTGACAGCGGAAGTGACATTTCTTAAGCACCTTCATATTGAAATCAGTTATGTGATACTCACTGCGACTTTGGAGAGCCCATTGAAATATGTAGTGTGAAAGAACTGATTGATTCATTACTGTGGAATAGAGATTATACTGTCAGCCCAGACAAACTAAACAAAGACTTTGTCAATATGTGTTTGTTGTGTCCTTTGAATAAAATCCTGGGCTTTTGTGACTGCTGGAAACATATCTGGTATTGTATTGTTATTGGAGCCTATGCATATAATAGTCTGATAAACAGTTCAGCGCAGCCTGTAATGAGCCTAGTCACTGAGTTGTGGCTGGTCTGTGATAAGTAATGGAAATTCTGCTTTGATATGCATTTAATATACTGAAGGGTGGTAGATTGGAGAGTGCAACTGTGTCCTATTTGATTGTGGGTGTGAAGCATTTCCTCTTTGTGTAACTGTGGGGTTTTGGAATTCTTTGCAAAGTTTCGCAGCTGTCCTTAACTGAGAAGTCACCCTAAATTATATCTATTTTATTGAATTTGAAGAGGAATTTTGGTACTAAATAGCTTTTAATTCAGCTTAACAATACAGTCTTCTCTTGTTTATAATGTGAGTAATTGCCGTGTCTGAAAAATGAGGAACATTATACATTGATGGTTCTCAAAATGTAGTATGGGTGTATGTTTTGGATGATTCTACTTAGCTCTTGCTTGGAGCCAAATGTCTTTACATCTGTGCATTAGTCTCTCATTGGAACTACTTGACAGGTTGATGGAGTAGATGCAATGTTTTCTTTTCCAAATATAGAATTATTTTGTAGGTACTAACATGTTGTGTGTAATTGTACTAAACAGCAACTGATGTTTAAAACAATTACTGCAACGCCTAGGGACCCATCTCCAGATCCTGAGCTGAGCTTGGTCACGACTATTGGCAGCTGTGCCAATCGTGCTCAAAAAAACAAATATTTTCTTGGGTAGTACTTGGTGTGAACAACTCATGTATGCACAATGCTTTAATGCAGGCATGTCAAACTCAGGCCTGGGGACCAAATCTGGCTCGTGATATAATTATATTTGGCCCGTAAGATCATATCAAACATGTATTAGAGCTGCCCACTGGCTACAGATAGAATATAGAGACATTATTTATTTAAAATTTTGCTATTATTTTATATTTCACTTGTTCTGGATTGAATGTTTAAGCAAAAGTATTATTAAGCATTTATATGAATAAGAAAAGGTTTAACATTACATATCTGGAAAGAAGAGAAAACATGCAGATGTTGTTGAAAATGTTCAATAAATGGAATGTGAATTTGAGTTTGACACCCCTGCTTTAAAGAGAGGGTATTATGCACTATGCTTTCTGATGTTATACTATATAGTTTCCTCATTAAAAAAAACAAAAAACAAAAACAAACAAACAAACAAAAAAAAAAACCTCCTTAAGGTAGATGTAAGAGTCTATCCATTGCTCAGCCCACAAGCCTCAGCGCTATGCTCCTGCACGACAATTCTCCATAAATATAATACAACAATCACTATAACTACACAAAACTGATGCAACATGCTGTAGTTTCATTAGAGAATTGCACTGATTGTAATGTGATTGCACTCTGAAGGGGGAGTGACTTAGCTTGGAAATCAAAAGGAGAGGGGGATCATGAAAATAAAACTTAGTAAACATGTTATTATGTTCTTTTCAGCAATATAGCATTTTCAAAACAATAGCAGGTAACACGGTGATGTAAATATATTATGTGCTAGTAGTTAATACCCCATAGAAGTGTAATACCCCTTCTTTAATATATTTTCTTTGCTAAATTCAACAAACTTTTTATTGTTCACATCAGAAAACCTAAATTATTTTCAGAATCATTATTAAAACATGTCTTGTCCTAACTCATGTACGCACATTGCTTTAATTACTGAGCATCCCCTCCATTCTAAACAGTTCCCTTCATCATACATGATATTTCTGTACACAGATCAACAGTGCGTCATCTCAAGACTGGTCATCTTTCTCAGTAGGTCAATGAGTCAGCCAAGGTTGTCTGCATGCACAGCCTTCTTTTCCCTGCGCTGATGATGTGAGAGCCCTCTTGAATTCACAGCTCATCGCGTTTCTTCTTCTGCTTTGTTTTTTTTGTTTTGTTTTTTTTGCAGTTGCCTTGTTCCCAGCGGAGGACAATGGAGAGTCTGTGGTTGTCTTTGCTCTTGCTAGCGGCAGTGTGCAGGGGCCAACCGTGTCCCAAACGCTGCATGTGCCAGAGCCTCTCCCCATCTCTCGCCATCCTCTGCTCCAAAACCGGTCTGCTCTTCGTACCCGGGGCCATAGACCGTCGTACTGTGGAGCTCCGACTGCAGGAGAACTTCATTACAGGTGAGTTGGATCTGTCGCCGTCTTAATTATCCAATCAGACCTTAATCAACGGCTGGCATTTAGATCGCTGGTGCTTGTCTCAACCAGGCTTGTATAGAGCGTATTTATCTCTCCCAGCGAATCCAATGTTCTCTCTTCCATTATCGAATTAATTTGCAGTTTATTTGAGACTGGAACAATCAGGCAGTGGGCTAAGTATACTGTAGTTGTAGTAGGTAGGAGCCTGTCATGTATAATTGCGCTATACGTCTGGAGTTTCAAACAATTACTAAACCGCCGATGCTAGCCTAGGGGATTCATTGTGTCATTATTTACATGCAAACAGTTAGATCAGGTTGACAATTAGCTGCTTATCAATTTTACATTACACAGAGCTGTTGTCACTGTTGAATACAATAGCAAGTTAATGAGATAAATGCTGTTCACAGGATTTGAAGTTCTGACAGTAAATTTTATACACATTTATGCTGAAAGCTTCTCAGTCGATTCTGAATATGTATGACTTCATTTAAATGTACAGTTCCAACTAAAGGAGGACGCTAAGTGATTAATATAAGGAAATCATAGTGCAAAGGCATGCAATTTAGACATTATTCTCCCCTATAATTTGTGCAAACATTGCTTCACTATCCTCCCTCCTGACTATCTGAATATTGTCAGATAGTTCAATATGTTTTAGTTTAATTTTAGTTTGTTTATTTATCAGGGACAATGCACATAAAAACACTGAACTACACAAAGAATATAATTTGTACATACATGTTGTTTAGGTAGTTAAACCATATTGAAGGTGTTCATTTGTGTCTGGGGGCTTACATTTGCAAGAAAAAAAGATGCCAGGGCACTCATGTATTTAAAGCTTATATTCTTGAACCTTCATGAAGTTTTAAAGCTTATATTTGACTGGGCTAAGTCCTTATTTTAAAATATTTTAGAAGCATGGCCCACAGGAGCCTTATTCAAGTAGCCTATTGTGCTTTGGAAATGTGGGAGAACCTTTTTGTTGTTGTTGTTGTTGATGCTGATGCTGATGATGTTGTTGATGTTGATGTGTTATGTTGTTAAAGCTAGACAAAACCCACAACGAAACAAAGTTAAAATTGTAGAACCAAAATAATGTGTTGTCAAAATGAAAGGTTAACGGCCCTGCACCCAATTTTTCCCCATATATCTGAGCAAAATGTGTCTTGCCCCAGTACAAATATATTGTATATGCAGCTCTTGAGGGCAAAATATGTCCAGTGTGTGCTGTTTGCATCTAATAAAAAAATGTTTTATAATCAGGACATATGTATTTGCATGTTAGTTGTTAACTTTACTGTCCGTACAAAACTCTGCACTGCTTCCTTAAAGCCTGTTTAGACCGCAGTGTCCAAAAAAGCCCTAGACGCCTCTATTTGGACACCTTTGCATTGGAGTTTAGACGCCCTCAACGCACATCTTGGACGCCATGGACGAACAGGAGAAAAATACTTGACGCGTGTCTGTTGCCCTGGAAACAACTGCACGGTCCTGGCCATTTCCTGAAACGATGGCAGACCAGGCTGACAGAGACTTTAGTGTGTATGTGTATGTATGTATGTATGTGTATATATATATACACATACTTTGCTAATGACACTGGTTTAGTCCTGGTTGGGTCCTGGTTCAGTCCTGGTCTAGTCATGGTTTAGTTATGGTTTAGTCCTGGGGTCAAGTCCAAACAGGCCTTGTGAAAAGCTTGTAAACTCATCATGGTGACTAACGATGATGTTTGGAATGCCTAAGGTAAATAAGGAATAACATTGGACCACTTAAAATGAACTTGTGTTTTTCTCACATTTTTAAGACTATACAAATCTGATAAAGCTCCTTTAATTCAAAAATATCCATTAACCACCAGACTAATTGATTGTTTTGCCATGTTGACTCCATGTAGTGTGCCATAAACCCTAACCCTGTCCAGCCCACACTGACCCTGTTGTCATGGTTCCCTCCTCCACAGCCGTGCGCAGGAAGGACTTTGCCAACATGACGGGCCTGCTGCACCTGACTCTGTCCCGCAACACCATCAGTCAGATCCTGCCAGGGGCCTTCAGCGACCTACGCCGCCTCCGGGCCCTGCACCTCGACTCCAATAGATTAACTGTGATCAAGGTGAGATGGATGGACACAGCCCTCTTTACATTTATCAAAAGGAAATAAAGAAAATGGATGATCTTTCACTGCTCTGATAAGAAAATTAATTAAACTCAGGATTGTGCGGCTACCCTTTAGGATTGTTCAAGCTGCCTCGGAGAAAATAGATAGCCTTATAATGTTTGCAGTGTTGACTACGGTCTGAATTGCAAGGTTTGTAAACACTTGCAGAGACTTAAAATATACTTTTGCATTTAGGATGTGCCTGCTTAGAACTACTTCTCAGTAACATGTGTGACTGGATCGATCAGGATATATAAAATACACATAACTTAAGGTCTATATTATACTGTAATGTCGTTCACACAACCATACCTGGAGTTGTGTTTTGTTTCATTCACACATGTTTAACACACATTCCCTGCATATTTAGGCTTTAGCCATGTTGAGTTCTTCTCTCAAACAGAAAACACTCTTGTCATGTCATGTGGTAATACAAGAGGTGGGCCATTGTGTTTTTAAACTCTATACACTTTCACTACAATCATTTGGATAATTTCAGATCTGGAATTGCCTGTCTCTATTGAACTAATGGTAAAAGGTAGCTGATAACTTGAAAAAACAACTGCTTCATGACATGACACAAGGTGGAACAGATTTTGAGCCTTGGGGCTGTAGACAGACGAATAATAAAAGATTACTCAAACATATGTGAATAAAACAAAGCACCACACTGAGTATGTTTTTGATGTAACCACATTCTGACATGGCTTAAAGCTCACAAGAGTCATTTTAGTGTAATATTGGACATTTAACAGTGTACTATGCACTTTCCTGGTTGAGAGCCTGCAACATTTGTTGTTTGTCTCCATGATGTTAATGCTTAATGCCTAGAATGTTCCACAGTATTTCATTAATTTTGGGGTAGGACTCTATAAGTTTTTTAAACTTCATCCTACTATTTTTGAGCACCAGGTCCCAAATATGTTCATGTACATATCACTATTTTTGTTATTGTTTTTGAATTACCTGGCTCAAACAAATAAATAAATGAATGAATGAAAGAAATGAAGATTAAACATGCTCCATGGCATTAAACATGCTTGCTCCATGGAGAGAAGGAGGTGAAGTAGTACCACCAGGGCAAGTTACAGGTCAGATCTGTATAGAGGTGACCCTCGCTTATAGTAAGAATGTATATTTCTTTGTTATAAATACACCTCCAATTGAATAAATGCAAGTTAGTTAAGTATATATTGCCATACTGTGGAATACTCCAGGCAAAACGATCTCGATGGAGACAAGCAGATGGCAGACACTCATTCAGAAAACTTAATATACTTTTAAGAATTTCACTGCATACTGCGTCATAATGCAGCTATCAGAAATATGTGGGCTTCCTATGGGCCTACTGAAATTGTAGTGATGTTATTTGCACCATATGGACAATAACATTCTTATAGGTTTTCTTAGATTGCATAAAGCTTTAGAGGTTACACAACAGCTCAGATCAGGCAGGAAGCAGGGGTGAAAAGTGAAAACTCCAGGTCAGGAGAGAGAAAATCAAACCTTTACCAGTCTTTACCAGGGATCATATGAGGCAAAGGTCTTAGAAACCAGCCAGGTCAGCAGCACGTAATCTCACTGCTCTGCCTTGTGTTGAAAACAACCAAACAGAATATAACACAGAGAGCGAGAAGCAAGCAGAGGTCTAGCTGAAATAGCAATGAAAAGGGTAACTGTCGGATGAAAAGTCTTTCCTAAAATCTAGTTCTCTAATTGTGAAAATCCACCTTACAGTTCTTTTTCAGGAACAGAAAAAAAGTAATAATAATAAAAATGTCACATCAGCTGGGGGGATGCACCTGTGTGAGTTTACAGTTTGACTCTATTATGCTTGATTTAGGTTACATTACATTGCCAAGGGACCCAGAACACCATCGATGCTATAAATCGGTGCACAGACGGGCAAAATATCACTGAATTCCATTAATGCTGAGTCAACTTAATCATAGACTGAAAATGCTTTTGGGCCAGTAAAGGACCCCAACACAATACAAGGGTTAATTAAGCTGCAGTTATTATAAAATGTAACCATTGTTTTCAGCCAGCCCACATCTTCAAATCCCACTACACATGACATTGTATATTGTTTCTTTATAGGATGACCATTTCAAAGGCCTGACCAACCTACGTCATCTGATCCTGGCGAATAACCAGCTCCACTCCATTTCCCCACATGCCTTTGACGACTTCCTGGCCACGCTGGAGGACCTGGACCTGAGCTACAACAACTTGATGGAGGTCCCTTGGGAAACCATCGGACGCCTCACCAATGTCAACACCTTAAACATGGACCACAACCTCATAGAAAATGTCCCACAAGGAGTGTTCACCAATCTGCACAAACTAGCCAGGTAACGGCCCAGATGAAATAACAAATGCATTTTTTTTTATGTAATGAATAAAGATGAAAACTATACCTAACTAGGCATACATTTTTGGCAACTAAATCAGATTTGACTTATTCTTCATCATCTACAAGGAGATGAAAACAGAGTAGCCAAATGTTTCTCTCAAGTAAGATTACTGTTACTTCAAAATAATCTTACTCAAATAGAAGTACAAAGTTGTGAGTGCCAGAAATTACTCAAATAAGAGTTTAAAAAGTATTCAGGGACTGTAGGAGTAACAGTTATATTATGTTCAATGTATGATTTATAGTTTATTCATGCACACAATCTGGTGTTTTCAAAGGAAAGATGTCACAATTGTGAAAAACAAAATCATATTGGAAGGAGGAACTACTAATCAAGCAGAAGTAAAAGTACGCTGTTTGACTAGGCTACTCAATTTCGTTCAGGAAATGTACTTGAGTAAATGTAATTTAGTACACCCCAGCTTTGCCTACTACTAAGATAAAATGTGTTACTAAAATTAAAACTTGTTCAAATGTGTTAATATAGTATATTCTAAAAATAGACATTGAGTGCGTATACATGCACATCAGTAACCCGGTTATGATCGGGTTTTTTGAGTATCCCGGTTTCTTGATGGTGCATGTATACGCAGTAACCCGGTTATGGCAGTATCCCGGTTATTAGAAACCGGGTTACTGTAGCTGGTTTATTCCGATAGTAACCGGGATACTTGTGGCATGTATACGCAGTACCCCGGTTACTGCAACATAAAGTTGAGTGCGCATGCGTCCAAAAGACACTTTCCAGCCTTTCACCACAATAGTAGTTACATAAATAAATTGACCAACACAAATAAAGTGACCAAACGAGTGAAATGACGTAAAATAAAGAGCTGCGCTAAACCTGCACACGTACAATCTGCACTCGTGTGATCGCTGAAAAGCTAAAACATGAACTATATCCTATACTCTATATGCACGGAACACACTTACCATCATCAGCGCCTCTTCTGTCACAGAAATAACACACATAATCCACAGAGTCGTGTCATTTAGTCCAAAAGAAACTGATCACATCAGCGGCGCAAGGAGCGAGTTTTTATCGCCGCTAACAGTTTATGCTAATTAGCCCACGGTCTTAAGTTTCGTTTCTGTAAAACGTAAACAAATATGATCACAGCTGAATTATATGATCAAACGGGCTGATGTGTCTATAGTGTTTATGGTTTATATGTTGTAAAGTTGAGTTTATTTATGCAGAAGATTTTAATGAAGAATCTGCGCAGTGGATTGTGGGAGATCTCGTAACTCCTTAGCTTCTTATGCTAAAGGAGCTCACGGTTTGTATTTTTCCTGGTTTATGAAATTGATTTAAGTTAATTTTTGCGCCTGCGCATTTGTAAGATTATGTCAAGAAACCGGGATACTCCATTTGATCATGTATACGCGGATATGAGTATCCCGGTTTCTCAGTGCGCATGTATACGCAGTAACCCGAATACTGACATAACCGGGATATGGCTAATAACCGGGTTATTGATGTGCATGTATACGCACTCATTGAGGACAAAACTAAATTAGCCACAATCTTGCTAGGTAGCATTCCAGGCAAAACCCCAAATCCACTTTATTGCATTGTCAGCAGCTTTGTGTGTGCTCTATGGATGACTTCCTCTTTCCTCTCCTCACATAATCCTTTTCTTGCGCAGGCTTGACATGACGTCTAACAAGCTAAAGAAAATCCCTCCAGATCCATTGTTCCTGAGAATCCCGGTTTATGCCAAGTCCAAAGGCTCCCCTCTCTCCTCGCTGGTCCTGAGTTTTGGGGGGAACCCTCTCCACTGTAACTGTGAGCTGCTGTGGCTCAGGAGGCTGACCCGAGAAGATGATCTAGAGACGTGTGCATCTCCGCCTGACCTCAGTGCCAAGTACTTCTGGACCATTCCTGAAGAGGTAAAGTGCATTATATCTCAAAGTTAAAGCATGTGTTCTTTTAAAGGGTCCATATTACGCTGATCAATGTTGTCTTTTTCTCATCAAAAACATAACTGAACTTGTGTTTTGTTTAACATACAAATCCTCCTTCTCTCAAACAAAAAACACCCTATTTCACCTTGTCATGTTAACACCATACACCAGGGGTCATCAAACTAAGGCCCGCTGTCCGACTCCGGCCCTCTATGCCCCTTTGACCGGTCCCCCAGCCCCTCTGCCCCCACCACTTGAACTGGCCTTATAAGGCAATCCTCAAAAGTTGTCATGGCCTATTTTTTTATATTACTTTTTGGCAAATAATAACACATCGGCATCTTGTTGATTTTATCAATTAAAAAATTATATTTATGTGAAGTATTTATATTTAAATAATTATATGACTTATTTACATTTGCCGAGTTTGAGACAAGTTGACGAGCTCGAGCTCAAACAGTAACTGTCAACGCACATGCAGAGTACGGTAGTGCAGTTAAAGACAGCAAAATGGGGAGTGTTAAAGTACAAAAAATTGAGAGTGCCGAGTTTTCAAAGAACAGTGGACGACTACTATTTTTTTGTTCAGTGTAAGGACTGTGCAGTTTGTCTGATATGTAAAGAAAGTGTGACATTTTTCTAAGAATATAATCTGCGTCATCAGGGTCACACAATTTTGTCAGGCCTACGTGACCCCAGCCCCCATCAGAGTCAAGAGCGATAATGTGGCCCCTAGAGAAAAAAGTTTGGTGACCCCTGCCATACACCTTCACTAAAATCATTTCTAGGCCATACCATCTCAGGCCTGGAACTTCCAATACTGAACTAAAGTTAAAAGGTAGTTTTCTTAACTTGAAAACTACCACTACATGACATTACAAGGTGCAACAGAACATTTTGGACATTGGAGATAACAGCAATAAACTCAAAACTCAAACATATGTGAATGAAACAAAACACAACTCCAGGTATGTTTTTGAGGAGGTAACAACATTCTAATATGGCTGAAAGCTCACAAGAGTGAATTATGCTTAATTATGCTTGTTTTCGAATTTAAAAGTGCAGTCTAGTGTGTTTTTTCTGGTGGAGGATTAGCCACCTGCTTGTCTCCATGGAGATGATGTTGCTAGATGTGGGACAAGTTAGAGACTGGGCCCATGAGAATGAGACCAGATGAAATTTTGACATAATTTCTTTTATATACAATGACTTTATCACTGTCTGTCTGAACTGCTTTTTGGAACTACAGCTTTTCAATCTCACAAGACCATTTTTGGAATGTGAATGCATAATTCACATTTCAATTTTATCTTGCGAGATGTTGTGGCCCTAGAATTTTCCCATTACTTTGCCTGTAATGGTCCACATTATGACTGTCTATTTCCATGGAGTGACGCCAGTGGTGTATTGGGTTAATGCAGGCCATATCTTTTGATTTTTGAAAATAAAAACATCTGTATTTGAATAAATGCAACAGAGAGAAGAGGAAAGCCACAATGATGAAAATTCCAGCCAAATAAATAACCTATCTACGGAGAAAAGCATCTAGTGGACCCCATAGTGATCATTTTATATTATATGGACTGAAATAGGGATTGGTGATATGGAGAAAAAAAAATCTCAATATATTTTGCTATACCTCGATATATGTATATATCTTGATATCTGTACAGGAAAAATAACCCCCCAAAACTACTGCATAAAAAATCTGCCAAATTCAAAAATTTATTTTTTTACTGACGTGCAAGAGGTGGGCAGTTCATATAGGAACAAAGTGCTTCTGCCACATTCAAGATTACAAAAAAATCCCTGATTACATAAATAATAATAATTTCACTGTAAAATAAAATAAATAATACATGTTGCCTTCTTTTCATTCATAAATAAAACAACTCAACTCAAGCTCATCTTTGCATTAACTCTGTTAACCGTACGATAACCCTGAGCTCCTTTAGGAGAGGAAGCTCAGGAGGTTCCTTATTTTAATAGATCCATGTTCCTATCCAGCAGTAAGGAGCTATGAAGTATCCCACAATCCACTGCAGATCAAACCAAACATTTCCAAACACTATTGTACAAGTTACACTGTAGCAGATTATTCATTAAAATCTTCTGCACAAATACATTATACATTACTAAACTACAACATATAAAGCATAACGACTATAGAGCCACATCAGCCTGTTTGAGATTATAATGTGTTTAATGCAGTTTTTCGCACATGTGTTTACGTTTTACAGAAACAAAACTTTAAACCACATGGCTTATTTGCATAAACAGTGTTCTCCTTGTGCTGCTGATGCAGTTCAGTTTCTTTCGGACTAAAGGACACGACTCAGTGGAATACGAGTGTTGTCTCTGTGATAGAGGATGTAATGTGTGGAAAAGGTTTGTGGTGCAAACAAGGCAAACAAGGGAAGCGGTCAAATCAGAACTGAATATAAGTATTATATCAATATATACAATATGTCAAAATCCATATCGTGATTTAAAAATATCTCAATATATTTAAAATATTGAGATATCGCCCACCCCTAAACTGAAATTTTATCTTCAAAACACATAATTTGATTTTGCAGCACTTATGAATGTTGATACAGCTTTCTTTGTTCCTTGCCCTTTTTACAAATTGGTCTGAGACATTAAATCAAAGAAACCAAAATATCAAATCTCAATAGGACATTTTAACGGCAATTTCTTACACACTTACAGTTTCAACCATGTCACCACAATTATATGACTTATAAAGACATTCACATTCAGCGGTATTCTACCCTGGTATTATCCATCTTTGTGCATGTGAAAGCCTCCGATATGGAACTAAATTGTACTGTGTCAAAGGCATTCATGATGATAATAGGCTACAGCTCTTAACACTTAAGATGGAAGCTACAAGATTAACTGCTGATGGAAATGTAATGGTGCACTTACTGATTTACTATTCATACATACCTATGTAGATGTTGCAAGACAATATGGACACACAAATGAGTTTTTGCATTTGGGTATAGCAAAAGTCCCATTTACACTTAAGTTCCCAGTAAATTGCTGAGTATAAACGTTCAGAACACTCAGCAATGACGTCTATTCAAACATTCAGCAGTTTTAGAACCTTCCCATGTCTGCTCTATTCACACTTAACCTGGCTTTTGGCTCTCTGTGCATTCTTCCACATTGCAAAGCTGCTGGCAGGAGTGTAGCACCAAATTCTGGGCCTTGCAATCAAACCATCCTGGTGGGCCCACACTACATGTCATCTAATGCACACAATACAGACTTTGAGAGGGGCCCCGGGCTGCACTGGGCCCTGTCTATTTGCAGTGGGTTTTTTTTTGTTTTTTTTAGTTGTATGTGCAAATAAAATCTAATCTAATGTAATCACGTAGCATAACCAAGAAATCTGATTGCACCAGAAATACAGTTAGAAATGCATTCATTCATTCACACATGGCTCTGTTCTGACAAAACACTCGGTAAACTCCTGGGTCAGGCATGTATGAAGAGTGAATGGCTTAAGACATGATTGCTTTGTTGTTTTTCAGGAATTCATCTGTGATCCACCAGTTCTGACCCGTAAGTCTCCTCAGACGGTGGCGATGGATGGACAGCCCGCCAGCCTCAAGTGCAAAGCCAACGGAGACCCAGAGCCAGAGGTCCACTGGATCAGTCCTGAAGGCCGACTCATATCAAACACATCCAGGTACCCCGCTCCCTCATCTATGTACACACTGATCTGATTTCTGTACTTCAGAGTAACAAGTGACCAAGCCATCATAAATAAGTCCAAAATAAAAGTAATTATGGGTCACAACTGAAAAAGAACTAATGACATGGCCATAATCACATACTTTACATAATTTAATTATTATTTAATCATTATTTAATATGTTAACAGCATATTTGTAATTGAAAGTACTCAGTTTTGCCATTGTCAAAATTTGCAAGCAGTATTACAAAAAAAGCAACAACTCTGGTTACCAAAGCTATCTTAAAGAATACATACTGTGCAAAATTCAAGTTCCCCAAATTAAACCACATAAGCCCACAAACAGAATCGTGTGACCAAATCAAAAAAGGCACAAAACTAAACTAAACTACACACACAAACACAAAACAAAATGGCATACTGGCCACCAATTCCAGCAGCCCCGAACAGGTGCTGGCAATCTCCTTAAATAGGGGGAGGTGGCTGCAGGTGAGGTGGGCGTTGACTTGCCCCACCAATCACAGACCAGGACTCCTGCAGCAGGAATTAGGAGAACTTCGCAAAAATCACACAGCAAATTAAACCTAAGGCCTGGGGCCGTAACATATATATATATATATATATATATATATATATATATATATATATATATATATATATATATATATATATATATATATATATATATATATATATATATATATAGATATATATATATATATATATATATATATATATATATATATATATATATATATATATATATATAGCTAGATATATATTATCTTACTTGCTTATTTTCAGGCATGCTTGCGTTATCGTTCATTCAAGTCTTGAGTGGGAAAAAAATAAAAAAATTAAAAATAAAACTGTTCCCATATCAAACTGTCCAGACACCCACTTCAATACTTTAGGAATACATGAGTCTGACAGGAATATATGAGTGATTGACAGGTGCATTAGCCAATAACGAATATGTGTGGTCCATCCGTATCAAAACAAATATAGCTACATGATCATGTAACATTTTGAATTTGCTATAGGTAAGCAGGTTGTCAAGAATTTTAGGAAGGACTTTGTTTACAATCAACAAAATGGATCTGTATTACTCTGTTTGTAAAAGTATTAATAAACATATGATCAAAAACCTTGAGAAAATAAACAGCATACAGTATCTTATTGCACAATAGAAGCTGTAACAAGGCATTATGTATACCAGGATGTAGGCCACAGGGGTTGTGTTGGTGGGGTGAGACTTCCATGTCGTTCAAACGATCCCTTTGTGACCTATTACAGGCTTGCCATCTGGTAACCTAGCTGGCACTGCTCCTCAACTTTACATGCGCTCCATATGCAGCATAATCACATATAAATATTGTAGTGAGGTCAATGCAGAGGTGTGCATAGGCAAAGCCGGCTCTTCCACTTTAATTATCTCTACATCATGTGGCACATTCTTCACTTGCACACAATACAAGCCATACATTTCTCACAATTCAAAATAAAAGATAATTCAGCCACAATAATCCTGGGTTCTGTTTTCTTAGTTTAGTTAAATTAACAAGGCACACACTGTTAATTTAAACACATACTTTATTTGTTATTTCATTTCGGTTATACAGTTCAGTTACATACATCCATATTCACATACTGCACCTGTTCCTCCACATGGTCTGGAGGCAAAAGAGGGGATGTGTCCTAAGCCGACCATTTTTAAAGCGTCTGGGGGAGGTCATGGGCCAGACCATGTGGACGGGGGAACAGGTTTGAGTTCTGTTTTGTTTTGTTGTTTTTGTGTATTTGGTTTTAGTCATTTTGTGTTTATAGTTTCTTTTAAACATCTGTGGCCTGTAAAAGGATGTTGATACTTACCTGGGGGATGTACTTCCTCCCAGGGAGTATAAAAGGTAATCAGGTTAGTCAATCGGGGAAGACTTCAGTGTAGTTACTTATTTTCTGTTTAGTTTGGGGATCAATAAAGTATTATCTATCTATCTCTAGTTTTGTGAACAGTTTATTTGCGATGAAGTTATTCTTCATTCACTGCTGAAGTCTGTTTTAATACATTTTTGTCTTGGTAAGACACTTTTTGTAGTAAGCCTACCTCATATTTGACCACATCAGGTCAGCTTCTCCTCAGTTGTATTTATTATTTTATTTTTTATGTTTTTCTTTTGTTTGTGTTTTGATCTACACTGGACAAAGCTTGAGGTTTAAACATATCGTTTGAATGCTGGTTCTTTCTGAATGGGAATACACTAGATTTCCACCTTCGGATATGTATTGACTCCATTTCTGGTATGAACAAGAAATCTCATAACTCAACAGAATAAATAGCAGAGTCCATTTTGAAAAATACATGATTATTATTAAAAAAATTCCATTCTGTCTTAGAGTGAGTGGTTAGCTGTCTAGTTTAATTCAACCAATGCAGCCACATAATCATAGAGCTATTGTGTCCAAGATTTTCAACATTATTATTATCCATTAGTTTTCTATGTTGAAAAGCACAAATTATGGAACTAATGTGTGTATTTTTAGCACGAGCCTAGGGTTAAAGACAGCCGTAGTGATAATTGGTTCTTGCCCTTAAATTACCTCTTTATTCTAAGGTTGGCACATGGACTGATCAACTGTTCATTCTCTTGTGATGTGAGGCTAAGGTTAAGACCATGGGCAAGTGAATCAGAAAACCTGGCAGACCTCTGTAATAATCATTTTAACCCCAGGACGGCTCTAGGCTCCAATTTGGTTGTACAAAAATATTAAAAATGTTGTATTTCTTTGGATCTTTTTTATAGATGAATACAGAAAAAAAGATTTAATACAAACAACATTTATAAGTATCTTTTTGTGTATGTTTCAGAACTATGGTTTACCCTAACGGAAGCCTGGAAATCAATGCCACAACTGCTAAGGACGCTGGGAATTTCACCTGCATTGCCTCCAACGCTGCGGGGGAGTCTACGGGCCGAGTGGAGCTGGTTGTAACCGCCGTGCCCCACCTGGCCAACAGCACCAGCCGGAGTCGAGACCCCTCCTCTGACCCCGCCCCCTCGGACATCCTCACCTCCTCTAAGGCCGCGTTACCTAGCAACGAGACACGAGGAACGGATCGGAGAGTCTCATTGGTGGAGCTGACGGGAAACTCGGCCCTCATCAGGTGGAGCAGTCAGGCGCCCATAACAGGAGTGAGGATGTTCCAGGTCCAGTACAACAGCTCCGGGGATGACACCTTGGTCTACAGGTCTGTACATTTGATTTATAATTTGGCCTTAGGGTTTACATTAGTGCAGCACTGTATCTATTGTGTATTTCAGTAAGATATTTTCCTTTGTTTTGAACTCTGCCCAATTGTTGAAGGCAGTTTTGTCCTCATTAGGCCCGAGCGCCAAAAGCTGGCGAAGGACCTATTAGTTTCCCAAAGCGATGTAATGTTCCCAGTCAAGACATCTAATTCAGAGAGGCTTTTAGATTAGATGCTATCAACTGGATTTGTGGCTATCACTGGCTAGCCGGTCCCTTGCATCTTCAACGCGAACTGTGCTGATCTTGTCACACTGGCAAACAAAGGACGCTGAAACTTGTTGGTCCACTTAGAGCAAGCTCAGTATTGGACAAGCACACTGGGTTGGCGTCTCAAACTTTTGCAGCAATTCTTCACAGCTTCTTAACCCAAAATTCAGCTAGTGACTCTCGGTTGGTCCTAACTATTTTTGCCAAGGTTCTCTGATAACTTTGAGGTTGGTTAAAAAGATCAGTATGTGAGTTGTGGTTTGTATCATCTCAGGTTCATAGTGAATACCCCTGTATGTTCATATTAATGACTCCTTTTAGCCTAAATGACATTGTTTTCTATTGTGGTTTGTTGTTCCGAGTATGGCTCATTTACACTAATTATGCATTCATCTTATAGTACTCAATCTTACGTGGTGCTTGTAGAGAAGGCTTTGTCAAATACTGTTAACCTTCCAGCCTTGTTAAATCAATTATGAAAGCTTTGGGTGTGCTGAATCTACTGTTTGATTATCTCTAAGCCTGTGTTTCAGAGAAGCCACTGTCTCCCTGCCTGCAATAAAATCAGTTATTGCCGTGTTTCCACCAGAATCCCTGGCTAAGCTTTATCATTGTAGTGTTTCTTTGCTGACTCCTGGGTGATTCGTATGTGTTAGTAGATTTGTGCATGTGGGCCTTTTGGTATGTAAATCCTGCATGAGCCTCTGCTGGGAGGATGAGAGCTCGTGATGGAGGATACACGTGGAGATTATGCTGTCATGCACTTATACACGTCTAATCAGCTAAAGTCATGAAGACGATTGTAGTCTTAAGTCAGTTACCCATGTAATATGTTGGCACAGGCTTATGCTGTGTGCTCTGTTCATATGGTGTATTTCATTTTTATTTTTTTATTTTGTTTCTTACAACATCTAATGCTAATTGATTCTTAGGGAGGCATGATATTGATTAATACACAACTTTTATGGCTGATTAGTGATTCAGCCTAGCGGTAAAGCTAGCCAAAAAACGACTTTATCCATAGGCTGAAATATAGGACTGTTGCTGTAGACATTAGCAACTGGAAACTAAATATTCTACCTTTTGTATGGGGTTCTTAAATGGCACGCACATGAACCTGAAACATATACATAGTCAGTCTATTTGTGGGTTTTAGTCACATGCCTTTTTCTGTCAAGGATGCCATTTTGAGGACATTTGAGCATTCAAAGGTTCGAACATTTTTCATTTCTTTAAAGAGCCTATATTAGGCTCTACTGTTTCCTCATCAAAATGATACCTGGAGATGTGATTTGTTTCTTTCCCAAGAGTAACATACAACCCCCCCCCCCCCCAAAAAAAAAAAAACATGTCATGTGTTACTTTCTATGTTTACTGTCATAGCCTTGCACGGGTGATATGCGTAGAAGCAGTGCTACCATTAGGCAAAAGTAGGCAACTGCCTAGGGCCCCCAAACCTGGAGGGGCCCCCACACAATTGCCACTAATGACCGAGGCCTCAGAGCAATTAGATTTTCTCTCTATATGACATTAAATGAGAGTAGTTTACTTTTAAACAATAATCATAAGAAAATAATAATCATAATAATCATAATACATGTAAACAAAAATAAATGTAATTGTACTAGCAAAAAAATAAAACTACTCTCAGTTCTGGTTATCCAGTAGGTGACTGAACTAGTAAGGCGTAAGTTTCCAATCCACCATAATTCAAATAAATAGAGATGTGCATGTCTCAAGAACAATGGGGAAAAACAGACAATAAATATATATAAAAGCCCCAAACTCAAGATTGCCTAGGGCCCCCAAACTGCTAACTCCACCATTAGATATGTGTACACCTATACCTTTTATGAAATACAAGAAGTGACCCTCTGTGGCCCCATACACCTTCACTTAAGTCATTTGTATAATTTCAGTCCTGGAATTGCCCATCTCTGTTGAACTAAGTGTTAAAGGTAGCAGATAATTTGAAAACTAACACTACAAGGCATCATAAGGTGGAACAGAGCATTTTGAGATTTGGAGATGTAGACAGACAAATAATGCAGGATTACTCAGACGTGTGTGAATGAAACAAAACACAACTCCAGGTGTGTTTATGATGCGATGACAACATTCTAAATTGGCTTAAAGCTCAAAAGAGCCAGTTTTCCGTGATATAGAACCTTTAAAACCCATGGTTACGCACACTATTCTGTGCATTTAGGCCATCTTTATGTTGTGTCTATGAGGCAGACAACGCAAAGTCCCATTTATAGTTCATGTGTTCTACTTCAAATTGAGCAGGTGTTCAAATGCTGACTTAATGTGCACCCCCTCCCAACCCCCACCCCAAAAAGTTACATAATCTTGTTATTTCTTACAGTGCTGTATGCATGGTGAAAGCTCAAAACATGACTTATGCATACTATGATTCTCTCTAAATGATGGTGCTCTTGGGCAATACAGACTTTCTCTGTGCAAAAACCCAAAGCTCTGGCACATTACTGGATAAATGTCTGTGGAAGCCTGGGAAAGCCCGATTTATTTTCAGCTCCGAGTGAATCTCATATGTTCTGGAGTCGTCATAGCAACTGTTTGGGAAAGTCTCTTAGATCTGTGTGGCTATAACTGTCTCCTGGCACTACAGTAATCGCACATTGATTGCATAGTCTATATGTTCAGCCTTTATTTATCTCCAGAGACCCACTAGAGGTGTTTTCTTTCATCCATGGAATAAATCTAAAACATAATCGTTAAAACTCTCAATTTAAAGTTTGTTAATGTAGCTTTTACAATTGCTTTTAAATGAGAAGAACACAGATTTAATTGTCAGTAAGCTGTTGATAGTTTTAGTCACACTTTGTAGTATTGTTATATCGTGGTACTAAATTTGGTGATGCTTCATCGTTATCGTGGGCTGCTGTAAGAGAATTTTTAAAATATATTTAAATGTATTTATTTATTTTTTTGTGTGACTAATAATAATTTTGTTGCATATTTAGAGGAATAAAAGTTGATTATGTATTATACACTTGATAAATTGTGAAATATTGTTGCTAAAATGTACTTGGCTCTTAAAAAGCAGCAATGTATCACAGACTATTATGTTCAATATCAATTATCACACATATCACTGTATCGTGATAATAATGTATCTTGAGCCATATATATCGTATCGAAACATGAGGGACCCTGTGATTCCCAGCTCTGATACTATTAAAGAATAACGAGTAACACTTTATAATAGCTAAAACTTCATTAGATTTAATAAAACGTGAGACCTAATGGAGCTTAACAGTCCTGCCCACTTTGAAGTCCACTGTGTTTCCGGGGGTACATTTTCCGTTCATCTTTCCCATATAAGATTAAAATTTTAAGAGGTCAAAGGCACTGCATTGGCTAACCAGCTATGTGATAACTAATATCCAGAACACTGTTGTTTCAAGTCCAAAAGGCACATTTAAAATGCAAAATGTGCTTCTTTTAAATGTTTTCATAATTTAGTTAATAGCATAATAAAGTTTTAGAAACAGATTTTAAATAAAAGTACAGTCTTAGTGGTCATTAGCTACCACAGCTGGTTAGCCCTGAGCAAGCTTTCAAACTTTTAATGTGCTTTACACTTTTTATCCTTTTTTTTTTCTTATAATATGTGGAAAATCTGAATGGTAAAATTACTTCCAGGACCAGTGGTGGGCAGTCACTGCTGAGCTCAATTCATAATGAACAAAGTGTATTAGGATTGATCCAGATTTAGTAACTATTTAATGAGTACCCTAACTCTAACTTTGAACTCTAACCCCCTCATCAAGTAGTTACCAAGTCTGAAATAATAAACTATTTGTTCATGAATCAAGTCTTTCTTGATGCGTTATTATTTAGCTTGTAAATAGTGTAGTCAAACAACATGCTTTAAGAAGGCTCTGATTAACCATTGTCAAGTACCAAATGACACCTTAACTCTTCAGGAGTATATTTCAGGGCAAATATATACAACTGGTAGAAATGTAGAAAATGTCTTGTTCTGTGACAAATAAAATCATGACCCTGTTTCCCTGCTCTAATTGCACATGAATAGTGAATGCTAATAGTTTACATTTCTGTAGCGAAAAAGCAGCAAAGAATCGGCCATCCATCTGCTGCTAAGGTAACCCAATGAGGGCTTTTAATCACCAGCAGCAGTGACTTGGGGCCAAACCCTTGAAGGATTCTCTTAATTGAACAAGTTAAATCTATCCCTGTTGACAAGACAACCAGAGGGCTCTTTATTTGGAGAAACCGACTCTTGTGAGATATGAAAACGCAAGTCTCTGCTGATGGCTGATTATCCTTTTATTTTTAACGGAGAGAACTCTTGTTTACGCAGACACTTCATCCAACTGTGAGAGATGAGTTTTTTTTCTTTTTTTTTTTTTTATTCCCAGCATGGCAACCAGTTGATCTGCATAGCAACTGTCCATGTGCACCTGCAGGTTGAAGGCCAAATGTTTTCTTGTGGGCGCAGTCACTCCACAGGTACAAACTGCAGTGCTTGTGATTTGGGTGGGGGGCATTGCGTATTAGTGAATAGGTTTTTCAGCTTTGTGACCAGAAGTGGGTAGTCTAGACACTACTAATCACAAATCACACAGCTTTGATTAAACTGAAAAGGTAGGTGTTGGTAAATAATAGTGAGGCCATAGAGAGCAGCACAAATACAACTGTAAAACAACTCACCCTGTCAATCACTATTTTATCTTTGCACTG